GCCTGAGGATATTACTTTACTGCACCACACGCAGGAGTGCGCCTTCGACAGGTACGTCGATCTTTGCTGTTATTCACTCGAGTCAGCTGTTTTTGTCTTTTCTTTTCATGTGATGGTGTCTGATAAGTTAGAGAAGTGGTGTTGAGTTTATGTGTGACAGCTTCTTTCACTTCTCAGTTCATGTTTTGACCATTGGTTCAACTGATGAGGTCGTCTTCTCTTTCCAGATCATCCTTTTAGTATGCTGACAGAGATGGAGACGGTGAGTTTGATCAGATTTGTTTGACAATTTCTCTATTTTTTGTTGGGCATTGTGCATAGAAACTTATTTATATGTTTATAACTGGATCTGAGTGACAATTTGGTCTTAAATATTACCAGGTCATCTATGTATAGACTGAGGGTAAAAGGCTATGAAAAGCTAAGCCATATGGTACGGTTGCCTGCATGTTATCTGTGGCCATGAAAACACAAACACTTGCATAAATTTGCCAGTCAAACTAAAATACACATGCTTGCAGTGTTGCTCCTTGGCTCTTATCCAAAACAAACCCTTCAGCACAGAGCTGGGATCAAATTCATTTCATTAGTGCAAGATTATGTTTTCCAAATGTGTGCTATTTACATTAATCCTGTTATAAGAACGAGCTGTGCTCCTTTTTTTGGGGTTTTAACAGACCGAGGCTCATTCAACATTGATGAATGTGTCTGTCAGTGATCGTCAGATAGCAATATCATTCACTGTGTGATGCATCACAGCACAACAGTAACACACAACAAAACATCAATGGGCTTCATGAGAAAAAAGAAAGAAAACCAAACAAAACGGGTGTTGTGTGTCATAGTAACGCCTCAGGCTGTCGCTGACAATAGATGCAACAAATGCAAATGTTCATTATGTCCTGCCGTGTGTGTCAGATGGCTTATGCAACTGAGATCAAGCTAAGTGGAGGCAGAGGAGCCTGGAGTGGAGTGGCTCCTTCGTCCTGCCCTGAGGTTGACCTGGAGGTCATCGAGGAGTACCTGCAGGAGCACTCGCTGGAGGTCCAGCCTGCACACATGCCTGCATCACCTCTGACCTCAATGGGGCAACACATACACTCGCACCAAGGCAGCAGAATTATAGGTCAGTGTCATGATGGTCGGGGGGGGAAGATAAGAGAGATGCCAGAGTGTGTCTGAGTGTGTGTCTCTTTTGTGTTTGTCTATAGAGAATAGTTGGTCAGGTCAGCATGCTTATGAGTGGCACTGTGGCTCTCACAGTGAGGAATACAGACAGCAGCCCGAAGCCTGGACTAGTCCCCATGACAACCAGTGGGTAAGTTCAAAAACCTCAACTTCCTGGTAAATTTAGCCTTAATTATCTTTTTCATACGGTGGGAGAGGCATGATCAACTCGAAGTAGAATTTAGACCAACATGAGACATTTCATTGGTGTTATATATGATTTATAAAGATAGTTACACGTTTATGTCTGTGTGTGTGTGTGTTCACCACAGGGACACATAGCATATTCCGATGAGGCATCTGGATACATTGACTCAGATTCCCAGTCTAGTAGCTCCCAGTACCAGGATTCACCGTCACCATCCTCTGACACAGGGAGCAGGAAGGACAGAGATCCCCTGCCTCTTGCACCACTGTCAGGTAGAGTGGCACACACACACACACACACACACACAGACACACACACCTACACATCTACACACACAGACAGAACCACATTTGAACATGTGTGTAAGAACAAATACCAAACGTCTCCCACACACATTCTGCTTTCATGCACATATGAGACAGAGTTACCTCACATTTGTATTTACATCCCCTTTTTCCTCCCAAGGAAAGAGGAAGGAGCGGCTGTTCCAGTTCCTGTTTGAGATGCTTCAGACGCCATCGATGCGTAGCTGCATCTGGTGGGTCCAGTCCTCCTCTGGCACATTTCAGTTCTCTTCCCAAAACAAGGAGAGCCTGGCCCAGCTGTGGGGTCGGCGAAAGGGGAACCGCAAGCCCATGACGTACCAGAAGATGGCACGGGCTCTAAGGAACTACTCTCGCACAGGCGAGATTCACAAAGTTAAACGGAAGCTCACTTACCGCTTTGATGAGAAGACGCTAAAATGTCTACAGGGAGACTCAAATACAACGTAGAAACAATGGATCTATATTAGCATAGAAATAGATTAAGGACAAAGGGTGTGAAGGGAAATCACTTTGGGTGTCCCATGAATCTCGTGTCTGCTTATTATAGTTCTGTGTTTGAATAACAAATGAATACTGAGTATTTGAAAGCCTGAAGCGGACGCACCGCAGCTCAGAGTCGGTTATGCATACAGACCCACATTGTATTCAGTGTGAGGGGATGAACTGTAAATGCAAACTTCAGGTACAGGCGAGGTGGGAGAGGTGATCTGGCTTTTATCATGTAAATCGAAAAGGTTATTGTAGAACATCTACTTTATAAGTAGAACTTAAATCCTTCAAAATAAAAGTAGCATATTTCTCTTCTTTGTGTGTGATTCTGTATCGCAGATATTTAGCAGATGCAGTTTACAATCATCTTCTTCATTGGTTAAGAAAACATCTGTTTGTGTCAAAAATGTCTTTTTTATGATAAAATAAATCTACACATATTTTCCTCTGACTGTATGCTTGTCTGTGTGTCTAACATGATAAAGACGACCCGCACAGTGCACGTGGCTCAGATAAACACAGATGTGCTTCCAAACTGAAGCAAACACAGATATGGATGGACAGACCTGCACCCACAGCCAAAACTGTATGCAAAGTGAGCATGCAGTGAAAAACCGCCACTAAAAACAGACGTGTTAATCAGTGACATCTGAAAAGTCTGCACACACACATGCACACACTAAACTTTGATGAGAAATAGACTTTTTTTTCTATAAAGCTGCCAAACTGAGTTTCAATCCCAAGTTAAATAAACAACAGTACCATATGTATACAATCCTAAAAGCCCACAAATCAAACGTGATTTATAGAGCACACTCACAGGTTTGGTTCCAGTTTGTTCTTCATGCCACATTTGCAATGTCAAGTAGTAAAAGTGACTCATTTGGTGTATTTATGTATTTATTTCTGTATGATTTTGACCTGTTTCGATACTTTCATTCCAAAAGAAAAGAAATTCTACCTTTTCCTGAAATCCACGTTTCCTTTCCTGCGGTTACCAAGTACCTTGTGGCTTAAAATGTAAC